TCGAGCTCAGGAACACGGCGTATAAGAGGCGAAGTGAGAGGTACACCAATTCCCAAGTTAAGTCACGCTCTTACCAGGTCGGCGACTTGGTGCTAAAAAGGGTAATGGGGCCTGATCCTGGACCACTCAAGACGAAGTGGGAGGGACCCTACAGGATCAGCGAGGTCCTTCCCCACGGGGCCTACCGTCTCGAACATCTGGACGGCACCCCCCACCAATACCCATGGAATTCGGCATTTTTGAAAAAAATTTACCAGTAAATTCAGAGTAGTCTCTTGTAGCAATATCTTGTAAAAAAGCTATCAAACCTTGTACAAATATGTAATTTTATGTAATTTTTGCTTGTTTGCATATATTTTCGGTAAGTATAGATCGAGTCGAAGTGGCGTAATTAACGTAAGGAACGAAGTGTTGGCTAGGATCAGTACGATGACCTAGTCGGCACTAGCTGGGCTCAACTAGGAAGCCCAGTTAGGCCAATAATACCACCGAGTCCGAACGCGAGACCGGTCTGGTAAGCTGCCACATAATCATGTGCAGGTCGGGTCAGTACGATGGCCAGGCCGGCACGAGCCGGGCTCGGCAAAGTAGCCCGGTAAGGCCACAGTCGCCAATGTAAGGAATGAACGACGGGCTCGAACGCGAAGCTCGACATGGCCAAACCATCGCCTGATCCAACGAATGAATCTGACAGGTAATGTGCCAAGTAAATAAAAAATGTCGAGCCCGATCTCGAGGCTCGGTCGGGTAAACAAAACGAGCCGAACCCGATCTCGAGGCTCGACCAAGTAAATAAAAGGCGCAACCACGGGGCTCGGCTGTCCAAATGGTAAGTGCAAAACTCGGCACTCAAGCCATACTTGGGATAATAAAAAATTACAAACACAAAAGCATAAAAACACCATTCATTCAAACAAATAAAAAATAACATTACTTCAAAACAACTTAAAAGTATTCGCGATACAAAACGTCTAGTCGGCACCAGTCAAGTTTTTCAAAAAAGACCACAGGCGGTCGCAAAAGATGGCTCGCAGGCCATAAAAGGAAAACTAGCTGCCAGGAGACGGGTTGGAAGTGTCGCTGGCCTTGTCGGCACCATGAGGGACCCTCTCGCCTTGGTCGCCCCGCTCTCGCCATCAGCCGCACCTGAAGTTCCAGCCTCATGATCATGCGCCCTCCGCAATATTCGAGAGGGGTCGGCCTCGTCGACGAAGTCCCTGGTCGGCAGCAAGAAGGGCGTGTAGTCGGAGAGGACTTCGCCTGGCTTCAGGCGCATCTCGTCGGAAGGCGTCGCACCAAAGTTGGCAAAGCCGACGATCTCTTCATCAGCCCAACCTCTCTGACGACGAACCAGCGCGGCCTCTTCCTCATCCACCTCACATACCAACCCTTCGAACTCGGCGTCGAACCCATGCTTGGAGATCTTCGCTCACATTATTTCGCGAAAGTCCTCCAAGGTGAGCAGGCCAGAGTCGAACTGCTGGAAAAGCCAGAAGAAGTTATAGCCGACCCCGGAGTCCATGTCGGCCATTATATCTTTACTGAACAGCTCTTGGATCTCCGGGTACATCGGCAGGCGGAGTGGGATGCGGGGGCGGCCATCCTCTGAAGCCTCCATAGCGGCATGCGCCTCGAGCTGCTTCTGGAGGATGACAACGTGGGCCTGAAGCTTATCGAGCTCGGCCACATGCCGGTCTACCTCCTCACTCAACGCCTTGGCATGCCGCTCCCCCAGCTCGAACTCCTTGGCAGCCCAGGCCGCCTTCTCCTTCCTCAGCTCCTCGGCCATCCTGGCCGCCGCCCGAGAAGCCTCCAGCTCCCTCTCCCCGGCCTTCACTGCCTCGGCTTCTGCCAACACGAGGCGGTTCTCCAGCTCTGAGGTCCGCTTCGCCTTTGTGTTCAGGGAAGCGATCTTTCCGCGGTAGAGCTCGTGGTCGGCTTCCAGCTTCCGGTGGTCGGCCAGGGTCTTTTGCGACTGATCGGCAGCTAGAACGAGCTCGACCAAAGCCCGATAAATGGTCCCCGCCGCGTGCTAGATGAGCGAGGGGGTGAAGAGCTGAGAAACGCCGGCCTGGACGGTCAGCGTCCAAGCAACAAGAGGGAGCCGAGCTACCCGCACCACCTCCTCGGGCACCCTGAACTCATTGGGGACGGAGACCCCGTCAGCGGCTCGGAGATCGAGGAACCAATCGTCCGGGAAGCCGGGGAGGGCTTTAGCCACACGAGCCCTCCACTCGGCATCGATGGGGATGAAGGAGCTTGCCTTACTCTGGTGAACGTAGGCCGTCTTCTCCTTGTCAGGACCTGAACCCTCCACCTCGGCGCTCTTCTTTGGGCCTGAACCCTCTGCCTCGGCGCCCTTCTTCTTCTTGGCAGGGATCTGGCCCTCGATGCAGTCGCCAGTAACGTCGTCGCCAGTCGAGCCCCGCTCCTCCCGTGCCCAGCGCCTTGTGACTCGCGGCTCCGCCCCGGGCGCACGCGGACCTTGGTGGGAGACCGACTCGGCCCCGGCCGCCGCTGCGACCGTTACCCCAGTCGCGTCCTTCGTGAGTGCCGACCTCTTCTTTGCCAAGTTCAAGCGACCAGACATAGCGGCTTTGGTCCTGGCCTTGAGTGGATTAGAGTATTTGCGGCGGTATTTGTTCGCAGCCTTCGTCGACTCAAATCCTTTGGAGCGGAGGATAGGGTAGTAAACTGCAGATAAGTGACGGTCAGGAAAGGGACGGAAATTACCAACGATAAAGTTACGTGCAATAATACGATACCTGGCTGAAAGGATTTGTCAATGATCACCGGGCTGAGATTGTGGTCGAGCAAGCTTTCTTCTTTGGTAAGTGCCGAGTAGTGTCGCCTTTCCGAGTTGAGTCTCAACAAGGTGCTGATCCGGGTAGCAAGACAGGAGCTAGGGGCCGAACTCGCACTGCGGACTGAAAACGTAAATTATGACCTGTTAGAACAAAAAGGAGAAATCAGTACAGCGACAAAGGGAAAAGAAAAGAGCTTACTGGCATGAGAAATGAAATGCGTGGGCGGATGCCGGGTCGCGTCCTGGGTCTTCCACTCGCCGCCGACCCAAAACCACTTCGGCATATAACCGTGTAGGGTCTCCGACAACTTAGCCACCAACGTCTTATCGATACCCGGCAACACCGAGCTATAATAGTTGCCGGTGTCGCCGGAGCGCTTGAAAGAGAACAAGGCTTTCACTTCGTCGCCAGTAGGGTCAGGCCAGCCCTCGCGACGGAACATGACGATCAGACTCACGAGCCGAGCAAACACCGTCGGCACATATTGGCTGATGCCGATCTCGAGCTCGCTGAGGATATCGTTCAGCGCACCGGGCAGGGGGAATCGGAGACCCAGCTGTATGCTATGACGGTAGACCCCGATACAGGCCGACGGCGGGCAATGAATCCGCTCTCCGGCATAGGGCGCGAAGATCCGAACTCTGGGGCCAATATTATATTTCCCCCTCAATTGGGCCAGGTCGGCATCGTCCAAGACCGACTCCGTAGCCCAAGCCACCAGTCGCGATGCACGGGAGCATTTATTATTCATTTATTTTTTAAAAGGTATTTCTGTATTTAGATTGTTTCATGCCATTAAAAATTTCATGAAAATGAAATTTATATGCTATTAAACACTTCCTTATGTACAACATTATTGATTTGATTCTTGACACGTAAAGTACTACATAAGTGTTCGAATTTATCCAAAATTTCATATTATTAGTTATAAGTTAACAAATTTTAAAAGAATTAAAGGATCTTATTTATTAAACAAAATTAAAGTAGAAAAAAAAGTAGAATTTTTTAGAGATTTTCACCCATTATTTATTTTAAATCTAATTCTAAATTTCAATTAAGAAAAATTGAAAAGAATCATTAGTTACTCCTGGAAACGAAACTGATTTTCCTATAAATAAACCGATTTTTTTTTATCCAACATATTGATCTGAATTTTTTTTTAAACCAAATAAAAAAATCATCAATTTTTCCTAAAAATGCAACCGATTTTTCCTAACATTGCACCAATTTTTGTATCAAACAAATTGAATTGAAATAATTCTAATAACAAATTGAAATAAATTGTTAATGTTTATGATACTATCTCTTTCCTAAAGAAAATGATATGAATTTAACCAAGAAAAAAAAAATGATATAAACTTACCAAAATCTCGGTAAAACATGGTTAAGAAAAAACATAAGAATCCAAAAAAATCAATGTATTTAAATTTTGAAAAGTTGCACACAATTTTTCCAAATAATTGGATAAGGTGGCTTTAAATATCAATGATGAACCGCTTTTGTTACCAAAAAATATTGACACAATTTCGAATGTACATCCCGTCCAAATATCAGTTTTATTTTAAAATAAAACTTGCATGTGGCTTTATCCAATTTACACAATTTTTTTGAAAGAAAAAATTATTCAATATGATTGGAAGAATTGATTAAGAATTATATAACTATTTTCTTCCTCAATTTGTATCCAGTTTGCACGGTTTTTAAATTAATTTGTATTTGGAATTCTTCTTATAAATAATTAACATATTTTTTTTTGCATAAGAATCTCTAAATTTGTTACCAAAAAAAATATGATTTAAATTTTGGTAAAAAATAAAATATGATACGAAAAAAATAGGATTCAAATTTTTCCATAAAAATCTCCAAATTTGTTACCAAAAAAATATGATTTAGATTTTGTTACTTAAGATTCACATGTGTCTTTTTGAACTTTCCATTAATAGTAAGTCAAACATTATATTTATTTGGCCAAAATTTATATTAATGTATTTTTCCAACAACTTCTTTATATATATATAGATTCCCGCCGATGAGAAGCTCTATCTCAGCGATTTACATGAATTTCGGCGCCATTCCTCACGATTTTCGCAGAAGCAGCCCTACACATCTTCCAATTTTTCCTACCTATAATAACCATCAAGTACATCAGCCGCATCTTGGACTGAGCCCCTTTGAAGTCCCCTCCGAACATCACTAAAATTCGCCGGCTATTTTCGAGAACCAATCCTTTTCTAGGAACAAGAAGGACGTGTGCACCGACAACCACGTCGTCCGACCACGAGTAGCGCGCCGCGACCTGAGCCCAATTTCCCGACGAGAGCAGCAGAATCGGTCCGACAGCGAGTTTCCATGCGAGCCGAGGGCCTCAGTTCGATGACCGGGAGAAGCATCAGCAATGGGTTTCAGAACCGTACGACTGTCCTTCAGCACCGATTGTTGCGTGAAATTTGAGCAGACGTCCGAACCGAGCAAGTAGCAGGCCCGTTCACTCGGCCTGAAACGCCACCTGTCATCGCGAGCAGCAGTTCCTTGCCGATTTCTATTCGAAGCAGAAACTATTTGTCTGTCAACCTCTGTCCATGGATAGCCGAATTGCAGCGAGAGTCTGCCGTCGTCGGTTAAACCGAACGGCCCGAACAGTAGCAACAACCCTTTCGGGCCCCGTACGAGAGTAACGACAGTCGTTTGAGGCTTTAATCGAGCAGTCGGGGTCCTCGAACATTGGCATCGATCGGTAGTTGTCCCGTTCCATTTAGCCAGCGTAAAAAATTAGCCGTTTCAGCCCATCGTCGAGTGACACTCCTACCTGGAGTTCACACGAGCATCCCCTTTCAACCCCGGTCGTGTTCGTTGAGCAGCTTGCCAGTTCCGTTCACGTCGGATGGCAGCAAGGTTGAGAGTCGAGCTTTATACGAGCATTAGCCGAGAAACCAAACCATCTTTCGGTCGTGTCCTTTAAGTTCCGATGATCAGGTAGATAGCTGAACCCTTATGGTTGTTTATTGGTTGAGATTATTGAGTTTTGAATCTTAGTTGTTGTGTTGATTAGAGGAGAGGAAAGCCTGTATGTATGTGTTTTGCCTTGTTTATCTTTGAGCATGACCAAGCCCTGTTTGTTGCTGGAAGTTTGTGTCGAATTTTATACTTAATTTGTTCATCCCTAAGGAATTCTTAAGCTTGTTATTTGGTTTGAGTCTTATGTGAATATTTCATGCTGAAATTTCAGTGTGTTTAGAGTATATGTTTCAATTCTAAATTGGAAACGAGATATTTGTTGCTTGTTGGCATGTGTGTTCAATTGATCAAATTTGGACTAGATGAAATTATTGCCTTGATTTTGTTAAAGGTAATTTCAGTAGTGTTCAATTGAGGCATGTACTCCCACCGTTAGGGTAATGAATCCCCTTTTCGTGGCTAATGAAAGATGTGTACCCAGAAATAATGTTATTATGTTAGGAGATGAGACAGGATAAATTGATTTATGTTCATGCTGCAACCATACATTTTATGATTATAAATGGTTTATTTGCGTAGTGGTGAGCACCACGGGTTCCATATGTGCTCATCCCCACTTTTCTTTCCTAGGTTGAGCAGGTAGCAGGCATGACGACGAGGGGACGAGTGGCTAGTCCTTATTTATGTTATTTGCTTCCGCTATTTTATGAACATGTCAAGTTGGTGTTATTAACCTGTTTCTTTGGGTTTAAGAATATGTTGAATTGCTTTCAAACTTTGACGATTTGAAAATGTTGAATTTTGTGGATTGTTTTTGAAACCCTATGAGTTGGTGCGTTCCTTTATGGATCATGTTGAACTGATTATTCATGTTGATATACTTGTTGAATATCATATTGATTTGTTTAATTTGGGATAATGAAATCCATGTGAAAAACCGGGTAATGAATCCCCATGATTTCAGATATGACTTGGACTATGTTGTGAAAATGATAGATAATACCCAGGTATAAACATAAATCGAAAATGAATTTAGAAAAATTTACTGTGATTTTTGGAAAAGCCATGATTTTCTTTTAGAGTGGGGCGTTACAAACGAGATATTAAATTGGGCTTCTCCTATTAGAATTAGACTTTAGGTCAAGCCTACTAGTCCTAATTGGAATGATACAGTCATTCCACTAAAGTGGTATTATTGAAATACTCCCAATTTAATTTCCAAATTACGATTTGAGCTCCATTTCCAATATACTCGAATTACCTCCTCATGTTTAAGATATAATGTACGTCAATTTATTTAACTAATGATAATTAAATTAATCTACTTCTATAACCAAAGCTAGCAATTATTATCATGTCAAATATTAATCCACCTGCAGGGTTTAACATAACAATCATTCTGAACTCACTTCAGGAACATCATCAAACCTCAACTATGTGAAGCACACAATGACCGTAAATATTATAACAAAACACCATGTCATGGAGGAATAACTACCAACCTAGATAGTTATTGGTCCATATCAATAAACCTCACCTTGTGGAATCAAAGATGTAATTAATACATACATGTGTTTGTTTATATCTTACAAGTTAAGAAAACACACTAATTTGCTGAGGCCTAGTTCATTTACGATGATCAGTATAAAATGAATTGCTCCTCTCTGGAATCTATTCAATACACCAATGTGTACTAGTGTGACTAATCAGTCAATACAAACTGTATCGTTCACACTACAATCGTTTTGACAGTTTGTTCAACTCCATCTTGATTGTGAATCAATTGTTTGTGTTTCGCAAGTACCCAATAAATGATTTTATGTCCATTCACGATGAACCATTTATCTAAATGCAAAACAACAGAACATAGAACTTTATTTAATCAACCATGAATTCTCATTCAACATAAACAGTTTGAATATCACTTAAAATCAAACTTTCCGTATACACACTAACAGTCTCTCACTTATACTTACGTGCATTTTAGAGTGATTTTGGTGTATTTAATTATTTTTATTAAACTGTGATGAGGTGTTTATTTTGAGTTTTTACAGAAAATGGGGTCGAAATCTTTCTTTAAGTCAAAAACAACGAGAAGCAGTCGAAGACGGTGTACAAGCTATGTTTGGAAACAAGTCCGAGTAAAGGTTGACTATTAAACCAAAGAATATTGGGCCGCATTCAATCAGCCCATTTGGAAATTAATAAGGGACTAGGGCTGGCACAAGAGTGAATTAACTGAAGGGCAAAGTGGTCATTTGGAACTTAAAATATTGAAGAAAAAGACCATCTTCTTCACTCACGTACGTCGACGGTCATTCTACAATTGTTTATCCGCTGCTGCTCGACCAAGAACACAGCTGGACTACCTGGCCACCCAGCTCGCCACTGAAGCGCAACTGACCGTAAAGATCATTGGATCTCGGTCCACAACAGCTTTTGCCTCCGGGAGAGACCTATCCGCCGCCATCCGTCGGGGAGGACCTTCTAAGTCGGGCTGAGGGAGAGCTACCGGAAACTGCAACAATCGACGTCAACCTTCGATCACAACTCCGACCAGACTACATACAACCTCTTGTGACGTCTAGAAAGTCGAAGAAGAGTTGTTACTCGTCACTTCCGGGCAGGTGGAAGAAGATGGCCGAAAAATGGACGTACACCGCCAAGCTTGACGACTTGCCGCCGTATGACCACTGGGAGTCGACTGAGACGCCAGAAAACCGACCAAGAGCATATATATGAGCTAAAAGTGAAGATTTCGAGCTATTTTTAGTGCCCAGGTCAACATGAGCCGTGTCGTTCTTACGTGTCGTGAACTGAGCTCTCGGCATTGTCACATGACTCGTGTCTCCTATGACACGAGTCGTGTGTGTCTGGGCGCGACTTGCATGGATTTTATGCGTTCTTCCTATTTTTAGGGTTTTATGACCTATTTCGACGAGAACTCGACCCCAACTATCTAAGACACACTAGTGCACAATTTTGAGGAGGCTTTGGGGGAGATTTTCAGACTTTTGGAGGCTAGAAACACGAGCAAGACGAGCAAGAATGTCGAAAGGAAGAGATCGATGGAGCCGAATAAGTATTTTCTTTCTTTTTCTTTTCACTTTTTGAGTTCAATGTTTTATATTCATTTTTCATATTTGGGAAGCATGTTTCTAGGCTAAATTTATCTTACTTTCCAAGATTTACTAGGGGGTGATTGTTTATACATTCAACTAAAAAAAAATCAATCAAAACTCAAATTTAACTCAACTATAACTCAACCCCACTATACTCAATATTATCAATATAATTAAATAATATTAACCAATCATTCTTACACATCACATCAACTTTAATTCACTATTCATCCACTCATATAATTTTAGGCTTAATAGCGGAAAAATACACGACCTTTACTTGATTGGCCATTTAATCATGACTTTCAAACCTTGGCAAGTAAATACACAACCTTTAGATTTTTGGCAACCTAATACACGGACTTAACGTCCGTCAACGGAAAGCTGACGGGGTAGACGGAAAGCTGACGGGGCATTTTTTTAACGGCCACGTTACCAAAAAGCTTGACTTAGCAGGAGCCAAGTCATCACCTACGTGGAAATGTTGCAAAACTATTGCAAAGAGGGGGTTTGAACCTGGTACCACTAGCAAATAAAATGTGCTTATAAGCCACTTGGTCTAACACAATTTATGTTAAATATTTGACTTCACTTATTCATATACAAACATCATTTTATGTAATATATTTATATATATATATATATATTAAATACTTATTAAAAATGTATTATATAAATAAATATATTAAATAAATATTTACTAAATAAATATATTTAGTAAATATTTATAAAATATATTATTCAATAAATATATTTATTATATTATTAAATATATTGTAAATAATATTTACTAAATATATTACAAATATTAATATATTAAATATATTATTAATTATTTAATATATATTATGTTAAATATTTAATATATTTTTAATATATTATAAAGTATTTAAATATATATTATGTAATATATATTACGTGAAATATTTAATATTTATGTAATATATTATTAGACATATATTCAATATATATTATATAAAAATATATATTACATAAATATTTAATATTATTTGTATTCTTTGATAAATATATTTAATATTTATTAAATAAATATATTTATTATATTATGTAAATATATTTATTTAGTAAATATATTTAATATATTATTAATTATTTAATAAATATATTTAATTTACTATTAAATTTTTAATATATTATTAATTCTTTAATAAATATATTTATTGAATAATATATTATATAAATATTTACTAATTATATTTATCTAGTAAATATTTATTTAATATATTTATTTATATAATATATATTCAATGTATATTTAATATATATATATATATATATTTATTTATATAATATATATTCAATGTATATTTAATATATATATATATATTTATATAATATATATTTAATGTATATTAAATATATATATATTGAATATACGAAATAAATGTTAAATAAATATATTAAATAAATATATTAAATATACGAAATAATATATTAAATATATATTATATAAATAAATATATTAAATAAATATTTACCAAATAAATATATGAAATAAATGTTTAATATTATTTATATTATTTAATAAATATATTTAATATATTCACTAAATTAAAATATATTTAGTATATTTATTAAATAAATATATTAAATATATTACTAAACATTTAGTAAATAATATTTACTAAATATATTATTAAATATTTTATAAATATATTTAATATATTATTAAATATTTAATATATAATTTAATATTAAACATACTTATTTAATAATATAGAAATAATATTTATTTAATTAAATAATTTTTAATATTTATTTAATATATTATTAAATATTTAATAAATATATTTAATATATTATTAAATATTAAATATATTATTAAATATTAAATATATATTTAACAATATAGAAATAATATTTATTTAATATAACAAATATTTAATATTTATTTAGTAAATATTATTTACTATATTTTTTTATTTATATCTATATATGTATATATATGTGTACATATATATATGTATATATATGTGTAGAAAATGAAGTTGGTATATATATAAGTGAATTCAAGTATTTAACATAACTTGTGGTAGACCAAGTGGCACACTACACCCTTTATAGGTTAGGGGTTGCAGGTTCGAACCCCTCCTTGCAGTGTTTTTGCTGCATTTCCACGTAAGTGATGACTTGCCCCGTCAGCTTTCCGTTAACGGACGTTAAATCCGTGTATCAAGTTGCCAAAAATTTAAAGGTTGTGTATTTTCCTGCCAAGGTTTGAAAGTTGTGATTAAATGGCCAATCAAGTAAAGGTCGTGTATTTTTCTGCTATTAAGCCTATAATTTTATCTAACCATCACTTCCAATCAATTTTCTCCTACTTTACATCAAATCAAAATTAATTATTTTATTTAAATATTATTTTAATATATCCACTAACAACTAACCATACAACATTTTTTCAAAATTAACTATAGTTAAAAAACAAACCAAATAAAAAATAGTAGAATCCATGAACAATCACCCCCTTAGTACTCGGATTGATTTATGAAATATTTTTTATTTCTTTCATTCTGGTTTATCTTTCGTTTATGATTTTCTATTGCGTATATTTATTGTATGAGTAGGTGGACACAATGAATGCTTGTTTGTGATAGATTTGGGACCGAGAGGATATAATTGATTGCTAGAATTGAGAGATTTATAACGTAAGAGAATAAACAGACCGAGAGGTTGATAGGATCTTATGAATCATAGGAATTTATGGGAGCTCGTTGTTCATCTTGAGACCGAGAGGAGATAGATAACAATTAATATCTACAATTGAAGTTGTTCAAGAGAAAGGTTAAATTAATTTAGCGATATCTCTACGATTGGTAAAATTAAATAATGTTTGTATGAATATAAACGTTTCATGCATTAATTCAGAGGGGAAGATAAAAACAAATTAACTCCCACCAAACCAAATTCTCTGCTCTGCGAAATCCTATCCCCCAAAATCGCCGCCTTCCATCTGCCGTCATCCAGCCTCCAGTGTGCCTTCCCGGCGATTCACCGGTCCCTTAGCCGGCGGAAGGCCTGCAGCTGCGCCCCCAAATTTCAATTTCGCACTTATCTCTCTGCTCCTCTACTCCGATGGCAGTCATCGGTTTTCTGTTGTTCGGTCTCACTGTTCGTCAATCTCTGGTGGCAGTCTCGGTGGCTTATCTCTCGGGTCGCGTCGTTGGTGGTTGGCTCGTCGGTCGGCTTCGGCTCTGTTCGATTAACGGTGGCGGGCTCAGTTGTGGTGTTTCCGGTCTATGGGGGGTGGTGGAGGAGTGGTGGAAGGTCAGGGAGTTGGGTGCTTCCCTGGATGCTCGGCTTGTCAGAGTCGAGCTGGCCTGGGCTGAGAAGGGTTGATTCGAATCCCCTGGTCCCTCTCTACTGGTGTCGTGGCGTGGGATCTCCGGTTCGCCCGAATCTTGGGCAGTGGTGTTGGCCGGATCTCAGGAAGGCTGGTCGATGCTTTCCAGCTATGGGTCGGCTTCTCTTCTTGGAGTTGTTCGGGCCCTCGGATTTCGGCTACAACTAGGCATTTTGGCAGTTTCGGGAGCTGATTTCTAGACTTCAGGTTCAGTCTCTATGGGTGATTATTTGTGATTCTGCTGGTGCCTTGTGTTGGGATTGGTGTTTCCTCTGTGGGAAGGGCTTGTTAGTTGTTAGTTTAGAGGTTTGTCTTAGTTTGTTTATGTGTTGTTTGTGTTTGTGTCGTTTAGGTCTGTGTTTTTTCTTTGGGTCGTTGGCTCCTGTGAGCCTGAGTATGAGCGGGCATTACTCCATTGCAGGTCGTTCCATAGTCATCTTAGTTTGGTCTTTGCATTGTGTTGTTTTGAGTTTATTTTCTAGCATTGTTAGCCTGGCTCTAGGCGGTCTTCTGACTTGTCCTCCCAGTTTTCAGTTGTTGGTTGTACTATTCAGCTAGGGGTTGTGTACTTTGCACATTTGTTCGTTTTTATTTATAATATTCTCTATCGTTTCGTTAAACAAAAAAGAAAAGAATTAATTCTGAGGAACGCTTAACCTAGAATCTATCTTCTGTATCTTGTTTCATTTTTATTAATTTAGATAAATTAGTTCTAAATATAATTTCATAGTTTATAATCATCATCTTGTACGTTAGTCTAAATAATATTTAATCGTCATTATTCTAGTACTTAATTAATTCAATTACAATCTCTGTGGAATACGATCTTGCTCGCCACTACCTATAGCTATGACATACGCTTGTGGATAGCTAAAATAATGAGCGACCAAGTTTTTGGCACCGTTGCCGGGGATTGTTTGTTGAATTGATTAATATTAGAAGAAGCCGAATAGATATTAGTTTAAACATTTTTTTATTTTATTTTTTTCTTTTTCTCTTTTATGATATTTTCTTATTCTTCTTTTTTGTCTTGCGAGATGGCGTATATTAGCTACCAATGGTCGGTGGAGCAGACGATGTTTAATGGAGTGGTGGCGACCACCAAAGTTGACTCGAAGGTTGCGTTGGCAGCTCAACTAATCCCACTGGTGATTGAGTGCATGCAAAGGGTGAAGAACAAGACGATCGGGCCGTCCAAAACGTGAATTATTTGGCTGACCGAAATTTCGACAATTTTTGGGGATATCAAGGAGGCAACACGTATTATTCGGGCAACCAGAATTATCCTAATTTCTCGTACACCAGTCCATACAACACGCTACAATCGCCACTGGGATTTTCGGTGACCAATGAGGTCATTAATGAGCCGAAGAAACTTGAAATCGAATATATGTTCACCTCGTTCAAGATTCAGATGCAAGAATTCATGGGCGACACTCTTGCTAAGGTCTCTACGATAGAGAATCAAAAGAAGTCTATGGAGCGGAACATTGGCCAAATGATCACGATGGTCGAGAGTCAACAGCAAGAGGGCCAATTTCCATGTAACATGGATATCAACCCAGAGGATTGCAAAGCCGAGGAGAGATGACATTTTGACTAAGGTGAAGAAGGCACATGAGCAAGGGAAAAAGAGACCAAGGATCGAGATGGTTGTGGCGTATTCAGTCGAGAAGATGGAGAGTCTGATTGAGGCTCATGCGGTTGTTGAACTAACGGAGGAGAGTAGTGCACTATTACAAATAGACTGTCCTGTTAAGTGTGAAGATTTCGGTGAATTTTATATCGATTGTGTATTTGGAGAATCATATACCGGGAAAGGGCTATGCGACTTAGGTGCGGGCATCAACTTGATGCCACTCTCGGTTTTGAACAAGTTAGAGGTGAAGAAGCTTCAACCAACTACGATCACTCTTCAGATGGCGGATAGATCTCAAGTTCGTCTTGCAGGAATTTTAGATAATGTTTGGCTGACTGTTGATGGAATTAAGTTTCCGGCGGATTTCGTAGCGGTAGACATGAAGGATAACGGTGATACACCGTTGATTTTAGGAAGGCCATTATTAGCCATCAGGAGAGTACTAATTGACATGGAGCTTGGTGAATTCACGTTTCGAGCCTATGATGAATGCCAGATTTTACACTTGCTCGAGGTTGGAGAATTCAAAAGACAAAAGACGGTAGCTGATGCCAAGAGAAGATCATGGAGAAGGTTGGGTTGAACGGGAATGACCCTTATTGAGAGATCGGAAGACGTTTAGCTAAAGACGTTAAATTAAGCGCTTGTTGGGAGGCAACCAATCATTTATCGTTTTTATTTTGATTTATTTATTTATTTTTTAAAAACAAAATCTAGAAAAAAAAATAAAAAAAATGGTGGTGATCGAGTGTTCGAGCGAAGATTGGAGGAGATGATCATGCTCAAGGGTGCAAGGATTGCTTACGGTGTAGTTCGCTCGACTTTTCGGTTAGTTACTTGAGATTTGCCGCTTCTTTTTCTTAAACTTAATTCTTTTCCAAAGAATAATTTTGGGGGAGAAAAGTGTCGTATATCTTGAGTTTTTATCACTTTATTGCATACCATATAGTTGTTTGAATTAGTTTTTAATTTTATGATTTTTTTGGTTATTTTATTTTTTCGGATGCACGTTGATTTGCTTTATTAGGTTAGTAATAATTTGGTTAAGTCGAAATTTTTACTTTATCTTGTGTGTGTTTCGGATGATTGGTGGATAGACGAGAAATGTTTAAAGTTGCTTATTCTAATTAAGATATTGTGATTGTGATCATGAATTATATGCCTTGATGAATAACTTTATTGCTTTGAATCAATGATTTATTTGCCTTAGGAGGATTTGAGCCTTATTTTATTTCTTGTGTAATTAGTCGAATACTTGGGATACTAGAACTTGCATTGGTACTTACTTGAAAAATATGGTTATGTACGTGATGTTTTGAAATGATTTAGGCAGTTTTTGTTATCTACCCTATTTTATCCTCTTTTATTTTTCCTAAAATTTTATCCTTAGTAGCCCGTTTGGTCCTTGAGTCTTTTCTTGATAGTCCTTGATGTGATTACTTTATTATTTGACGATGTTGGGGGTTGAATTAAGCTTTAGGTGATGATGAGCTATGGTGATTTTTTTGTTTTGGGAATAATGAGTAAGAGATGAGTTATAATTTCTTTATGTTTTTTAAAAAAGAATAAAGAGAGCTCGCAAGGTGAATTATGGGGATTCTACTCCTCTTGCTCATTGATTTGATTTGTCGAGTCATGAGTAATGATTGATGGAACACCATTCTAAGATACTTGGATGATCTCCAATGGTTACACCTAGAAAATGTTGTCCTTGCTATTTATTCTTGTTTGGAAAAACTGGTCTCTCGAATATAAAAAAAAAAAATGAAAAAAATTAATAAAAAAATGATGAAGTGTCGAAATTTACAATTACATTATTGTGCTTTATAGAGTTGTGTATGTATGTTTTTCTTGGGAGATAATTGGAGAATAAGGATTGTGATTTTTTATAGATGTTCTGTTCGATTTTTTTTAGTCACTTGGCCTATATTTTGCTACCTTGTCCAAAGAGCGTACATTAAAACCCAAAAGACCTTTTGATTCTTAGCATACGTAGTTAATTGTATTTAGTAAAGTGCAGACAATTTGCAAGCTTATGGTTGACCATATGTTTCGAACTAACTTGAACGTACCCTTCTATTTTATATTAATATTTCACAACATATTTGAGTGAGGCACATATATGTTTGACCTTATTTGTGAGTTCATTAATTCAAAGTTTTTATCAAGTTAAGAGTTGAGGCATGTGTATTTAAGATTACTTGAATTTATCTTGATTATTTAAGTGACTTGAGACTTTTTTCGTTTGAAATCACTTTCCATGCACGTGGTTTGGTTTTGCTTTATCGTTGTTTGAGGACGAACAATGGTTAATTTTGGGGGATTTGACATGCGTCATTTTTACGTGCATTTTAGAGTGATTTTGATGTCCGTTTCGTTGTAATTTAATATTTAATTAATTAATTTTATTGAGCTATGATGATGTGTTTATTTTGAGTTTTTACAGAAAATGGGGTCGAAATAATTATTGAAGTAGAAAACGGCGAGAATCAGTCGCCGACGGTGTACAAGCTATGCTTGGAACAGGCCCAAGTAATGGTTGACTATTAAACCAAAGAATATTGGGCCACATTCAATCAGCCCATTTGGAAATTAATAAGGGAATAGGGCTGGCCGAAGAGTCAATTAACTTAATGGAAAAGTGGTCATTTGAAACATAAAATATTGAAGGAAAAGGCCATCTTCTTCACTCGCGTACGTCGGCCATCATTCTGCCATTGTTGAGTCGCTACTCGTCGCCCAAGAACACAACCAGACTACCTGGCCACCCAGCTCGCCACTGACGTGCGACTGACCGTCCAGATCACTGGATCTCGGTCCATAAAAGCTTTTTCCTCCCGGAGAGACCTGTCCGCCGCCACCCGTCGGGAAGGACCTGCCATGCCGGGCTAAGAGAGAGCTGCCGGAAATTTTCACAATCAACGTCAACCTCCGATCACAACTTCGACCAAACTACATACAACCTCTTGTGACGTCTCGAAAGCCGGAGAAGACTTGTTACTCGTCACTTCCGGGAAGGTGGAAGAAGATGGCCGAAAAATGGACGGACACCGCCAAGCTTGACGTCTTGCCGTCGTACAACCACTGGAGTCGACTGGGATGTTGATTTGGGTACACGCACAACACGTGGACATTAACATAATTACTTTATTATATTAACAAAGTAATTACACAAACACAATATAAACCAAGATAAATACTTCACTTATCAAGACCAAAAACACACACTAATTATTTTATATAATACACTTTCTCACTCTCAAATACACTCTATTATTCTCACTCACTCACACTCTCACAATTCACTCATTGGACACACACAACTAATTACAACATTGTTGTGTATTTATAGTACAACAAAGTCGGTGGACTAACCGACATAAGAATTTCTTCAAAACTCTAGAACTATCACAATACTTCTAATATTGTTTAATTAATTTAATATTCAAGTATCTAAAATATCTATGCAACTCCTATTTCTTGATCCACCTACAAGCGTCCTTTTAAGGAGTTGTTGAATCCAACACTCCCCCTCAACACGGACTTCTACTCATTCGTTGTTCCAGACCACCTTACGTCAAGTCTTCAAGTAAGAAATTTTCGCATGAGCATTTTTCTTTAAATATTTTTTTGTACCTCGAACTTCGGTTACGTACTCTCACTGACCTCTGCATTTGTGGTCTCTTAATAGTTGATTGATATTCTAACTCTTCTCCAATGCTCCTTTGATATCTTGTGACTTATTGTTAGCTCGTCTTCAATTCTATCTTCTTTAGACAATTCCTTCTCGCCATTGTAAGAGATTGGCAGCATCAAGTTGTCAATTGTCACCATATGCTAATCACTATACTTGACCGAATTAGGTAACTCCTTCATGTCTTCTTTTTCGTCACTTGAGCATCCAGAGTTGTCTATCCACTCATCATCTGAGTCGACAAGCTCAATGACAGTTGCCATTAAAGCCATCTTGACTTCTTCACCAGCTTCTTCTTTTCCAATTACGGCTGACAGTGTTTCAAGGTCCCATTCGTCTTCTCTTTTGTGTGTCTCATCCGACGTGACTGCATTTCCTTCTTCAAGTTTCTTCCTCGACCAACAATTCCTCGTTATGTGTCCTTTCTTTCCAGAGTTATAGCATTTCCCTTCAAATATTCTACTTTCTTGAGGTTGACCGCTCAATTTTTTTTTTCCTTTTGTGCTCCCCCTAAATGAGCACTCCTCTCGTCTTCATCTTTGTCATTGTCGTTTCTTTTCTTCCAATGACAATTTTTATTCGATCGACCTCTGCTATTCTTTACTAAAAGTAATTCTTCATCATTCTTGGATGAGGCATGGAACATTTGCTTAGCTAACGCGTCTTGGTCAGCTAACACATTTTCCAACTCTACGAGAGAAGTTTGGGTCGGCCAACCTTGTACAGTAGCAATAACACTTCTATATTCTTGCCTCAATCCATGAATGATTATTCTTCTTATCCTAGAATCTGACATACCAGCAGCAGAATAAATTACAGATTTCACGACAAAGAGACTTTACCTTAGCAAAATACTGATTTATCGTCATGTCTCGTTGCGTGATGGAGAGGAGCTCGTTCTTTAAAAGTTGCAACCTTGCGTCATTCTTCTTTCGAGAACAACCCCACAAATGTGTCTCACGCGTCTTTTGATCTCTTCGTGTCTCTAATGTGCACCAGCATCTCCTCCTCCATCGTGGTCTTGATAGCAAACATCGCCTTTCCATCTTTTACCTTTCATTTCTTCAAAGCTGCGGATTCCTCCGGTGGTGTAACCTCATTACCACTCATAATATCCGACAAATCTTGGCATTGCAAATATGACTCCATGTACGTCGACCACGTGCTGTAATTTTGACTATTAAGCTTCTCCATACCTCCGACCACTTGAAGGTCTCCCATCGTGGCTCCACTCGATCAACTCGTCGCACACTCTGCAGTTCCAGACTGCACATGAACTTCGCAGTACGAAACTGCAAAACTACAACCAAGAAGCTTGACACAACAACTCGTACCTCAACCAACGCCAGACCTAACTATCCTAGCTCTGATACCACTTGTTGGGTTGGGTACACGCACAACACGTGGACACTAACGTAATTACTTTATTATATTAACAAAGTAATTACACAAACACAATATAAACCAAGATAAATACTTCACTTATCAAGACAAAAAACACACACTAATTATTTTATTATAATACACTTTCTCACTCTCAAATACACTCTATTATTCTCACTCACTCACACTCTCACGATTCAGTCATTGGACACACACAATAAATTACAACATTGTTGTGTATATATAGTACAACAAAGTCCTAGAACTATCACAATACTTCTAATATTGTTTAATTAATTTAATATTCAAGTATCTAAAAATATCTATGCAACTCCTATTTCTTCATCCACCTAGAAGCTTCCTTGTAAGGAAGTGTTGAATCCAACATGGGATGCTGAAAACCAAGAGCATATATACGAGCTAACAGTGAAGATTTCGAGCTATTTTTGGTGCCCCAGTCAACACGAGCCGTGTGACTTTCGACACAACTCGTATCGTTCTAACGGGTCGTGAACTGAGCTCTCGGCATTGACACACGACTCGTGTGTCCTATGACACGAGTCGTGTGGGTCTAGGCGCGACTTGTACGGATTTTACGCGTTTCTCCTATTTTTAGGATTTTTTCGACCTATTTCAACCAGGACTCGACCCCAACTTTTTAAGAGACACTAGGGCACGATTTTCAGGAGTCTCTGGGGGAGATTTTTAGACCTTTGGAGGCTAGAAACACGAGCAAGGCGAGCGACAAAGTAGGGAGGAAGAAATCAACGGAGCCGAATAAGCTTTTTCTTTCTTTTTCTTTTCATTTTTCGAACTCAATGTTTTATATTTATTTTTCATATTTTTGAAGCATGATTCTAGGCTAAATTTATCTTAGGTTCGAGGATTTGTTAGTACTCGGATTGATTTACGAAATAGTTTTTCATGCTTTCATTTCGGTTTATCGTTCGTTTATGAATTTCTTTTGCGTATATTTATTGTATAAGTATATGGCGACTATGAACGCTTATTTGTGATTCATTTGAGACCGATAGGAGATAATTGATTACTAGAATTGGGAGATTTATAACGTAAGAGAATAAACAGATCGAGAGGTTGATAGGATCTTACGAGAGAACGAAAATCTTAAGAATTTATAGGAGTTAGCTGTTCATCTTGAGACCGAGAGGAGATAGATAACAATTAATATCTACAATTTAACTTGTTCGAGAGAAATGTTAACTTAATTTAACGATTATCTCTACGATTGGTAAAACTAAATAAGGTTTGTATGAATATATATAAATGATTCTTGAATTAATTACGAGGAACGCTTAGACTAGAATCTATCTCATGTATCTTGTTTTATTTTATTAATTTAGATAAATTAGTTCTTAGTTTAATTTCATAGTTTATAATCATCATCTTGTTCGTTAGTCTAAATAATATTTAATCGTCATTATTCTAGTACTTAATTAATTTAATTACAATATCTGTGGAATAGAATCTTGCTCGCCACTACTTATAGCTACTCCGTCCACTTGCGGATAGCAAAAATAATTAGCGAACATGTAACCCACGACAACCTTTAGAGGAGAGCGGCTGACGCGAGCTTCGAATCGGCTGCGACGGACGGCACTGGCTGCGAAGGGTCCTGTGTTGTGCGTGCAGTAATCGCTGGGCTCGACTCGTGGCTAACCATAAAATCAGGCAAAAGACTCGGATACAAAATCGTCATCGTCTTCATCGGTCAGATTTGTTTACCTAATGTATATATTTACCATAACTATACTCCAAGTTTGTTTGTATCGTTGTTTGAATCTATAATATTTGTGTGTCTATATATTTGTATGCCTAATGTATATGTTATATATAACTATAATCTATATAAGATTCAACTACTTCAATATTTGAATCTATCATATTGTTTATCTATTGTATATATACAATATATCATGATTAATATTTCTAATCATGACTGTTTTTTTCTAAGCTAGATCGATTATTTTTATTTTTCAATTGCAAGACGCTGATGTACTATAAATCCGTTTGAATTTTTGAATTCGTGCAGCTCAAATTGTAGCTATTATATATGGTGTTATTTTTTTTTTGGAATTTCGGTTTTGATTGAGTCGTTTTCGGGAATGACATGGTTTTTATTTTGGAGACAGAAATGGATTTCTTGGAAAGACAAAAACGGGCATATTAATGGCATGATTTTTATTTTGGAGAGAGAAACGAATTTCCTGGATAGAGAAGAACGGGCATATTAATGGCATGACTTTTCTTTTGCAGAGAGAAACGGATTTCTTAGAAAGAGAAGCACCTAATCTCTCTCTCTCTCTCTCTCTCTCTCTCTCTCTCTCTCTCTCTCTCTCTCTCTCTCTTCCTTGCAGATCAGCCGCCACCTCTAATCGCGTTCCTCAGCGGCGCTGCGTCTTTGGCGGTGGCCTCCCCACAGCGGCCGCTCGGCCGTCCTTCTGGTGTCGCGTCTTCTCTCATCCCCCAGCACCGATGATGGTTTGTGGATGTCCGTGGTCGTTTCTCGTCTGTCTCGACAAGAATCGGTTGGGGCTCTGTCTGATGGCCTTCGTGGTGTTGCGGCGTTGCTGGGATGGTGTGGTTCAGGGGATGGGTTGGGAGTGGCTCGGACGACTTGCGACCTCTGTGTCGTCATTGCCTGCGGTTGAGACGCCGTATCCCTCTCATCTCTCTCGAACTCTGTGTTTGGGTTTTGGGAGGGGGGAGGGGGGATTTGTGCTCCCGGTCTTCGCTAGTGGTGTTAGCTGGATTGGGTCTCCAGTGGAGTGGGGATGCTGTCGGTGTCTCTCCGACTGTGAGGTGGGTCGGCCTTCGAATGAGTTTGGAGTTCGGATTTCTTCCTTCGTTAGGCGGTTCGGCAGTTTTGGGGGAGATTTCTTGGGCTGTGATCTCTTCATTTGGGTCGATCAGTTGACCTCTGGTTCGGCTCGGTTTTTTTGCTGCGGAAGGGATCGTTTCGTTTATTTTGTTGTTAGTTTATGTTGTTCTATGTGTTTTTTGGTTTTGTTGTTTGTTTAGGTCTCCTTTTGTTTTGGTTGGGTCATTGACCCCTGTACGCCCGAGTGTGAGCGTATTACACTGTTGGGATCGTACACATGGATATTATACTGTTGTGATCTTTTTTAGTAGTTTTTCTAGTTATTGTTTGTGTTTGTCGTTTTGGTCGTGTCCTGAGTCTTATTTGGTTTCTAGCGTTGTTAGTGTGGAATTTAGGCGGTCTTCTGACCTGTCCTCCCAATTTATTCAGCTTTTAGTTGTCTTATTCAACTAGGAACTATATATTTGCACATTTGTGCGTTTTGATTTATAAAAACCTCTCATTTTGGGGGAAAAAAAATAAAAATAAAGCACATATCGTAATTATGAAAAGAAAATCTCCATCAAATCCTTCTTGATAAATATATTTACTTGAAAATAACTCTCATATAGTGTCTTATGTAAATTTCCCTAATTGTTAAAATGGAAGCTCTTTAAAGGAACATAACAATTATGTCCTTCAGCCCAATTTCACATGAATTACTAATTTGTCCTCCATTTATCAAAATCTTGTTAAAATAGAAACAGGTAAAATTATGATGACATCAGAGAAGAATGAACGAAAGACCACACAAACAACAATCATTGCAACTCTTCCCTTTGTTCGAAAAAGCACACCTTATTTCCGAGCAAAGAAAATGGCACCAAAATCCATTCACAACACACCAATCAATTACTACATTACTCAGTGCATGGAGTAAGTAGTAAATTGTCATTATTCCAAACATAATTGATATATTATAGTTATTAAAGTTTTTGAATCAGCAGTGCTTAGTGCAATAACAACGGCGGCGGAAGCCTCGGCAGTGGCCGCTGTGAAAGCCCTCAGTTCGGCAAACCGCTGCGCAATTGGCTTTAATGAAGCAAAGTCCTTTGAACTGTTGACTCTTTGACTCGCACTTCCTTGTTGCCTCAGCCACCATTTCTGATCATAATTTATAAATTAAAAATGAAAATTGAATAAAATATATCAGCTAGTGATCATATGATAGTTGCTGAAAGTGATACCAACAATACATTAGGCAAAATTAAAATTTGATTCTCCTTTTGGCACAAAACCAAATTAAAAAAAAAAAAAAATGAATTAGTATGAGAGTGATATTCATGAGCGGATATCAATTTAAAAACAATACTGCAATTATAACAGCAATTCATAATGAATTTGCGAAGAATAGAAATTTGGAGACAATGAATATTACCGCTGGAAAAGATGAGCATCAACATAAGGACAACAGTTGCAAGCAACCTCAAAAACCCGCCCATATTCTCAGTACGTCGTTTTTGTATAACTGTATAATTGATTGTGTATTTAATTGTGTGAGAAAACTTGATATACTGAAACCAATATTTATAGGTCTGCAAAGCTAATAAAAAGAAGGCCAACATGTATATTGAAAACGAGAAGGAAAACCAGGTTCACACATCCATTTCCCGACCAGATAAAGGGAAATTGTATATTAAAAAATTAGTTGTCTTAAAGTAACACAATGAATGACATATAAGGTATAATAATAATAATACGTATGTGGCAAAATTTTATGAATTTATATATAATATTAATTTTAAAATCAACAGGCTCTATACTTACGTCCCATTTATGCAACGTATTATATCAAATTATTATTTCAAACTAGCATAATCATTAAAACAGTTTGGCATTTGCTAAAAATAGTAAATTTTTCTCGCCAAAAAAAATCTGAATTACTAAATANAATTATTTCTAATGGAAAAATATTTATAAAGTATTAATAATTTTAATAGTTGACAATGCACTTATAAACTTAACTTAAATTTATTATTAAAAAATAATTAAAAATAATAAATTACTATCAAGATATTCCTACAATAATATATAAATATTGTATAATAAAAAAATTTCTGTATAAAATTTTCTAAAATAGTAATGGGTATGCTTATTACTCATGTGTTTAAAAATTAATGATAAAAATAAAAAATTAAATATGTAAACAGTTATTTCGAGGATCAAGTATATATACATTATTAGAATAATAAACCAACAGGTTATTTGTCGAACTGTCATGTAAATTATTAGATCCTAAAAATTTAAATATTTACAATGTGTATTTTTATAAATTATGATAAACAAATGTGTCATTTGTTGAAATTTCGGTAAATTATAAGTTTAAAAAAAAGTATAAAATATTTATAATATATTGTGTTACAAATTATGATGTCAAACCAACAAAACATTTGTCCAAATATTCATATAAATCATTATCTTAGAATAAAAAATAAAATACTTATATTGTATATTGTTATTCATTGTAATGATAAACAAACCAGTCATCTATTAAACAAAGATGTAAATTGTTAGTATAAAAAAAATTAAATATTTATAATGTATATTTTTAGCAATTATAATGACAAATCAATCGATAATGTACTGTCAAATGAATTAGTGGACTAAAAAGAAAACTCAAAATATATAATATATACTATTATAAATTATATAAAAAATTGATTAAATTAAAAAATCAAAAGTTTATAACTTTAAAATTCCAATCTCTTTAAATTGTCGGTCTATAATATTTGTCACAAATTTGTAACTTTAGCATCACTTATTTAGAAATTGAAATAATATATTGTAATAAGGTATGAGTAAGGTAAGAGAAAGAATAATATTTTTGTAAGTATTTTTTACTGATAATGTTTGAATATGTTAAATTTTTATGTTTCTCAATTTTAGACATGAACTCCAAAATGATAGTTATTTTATAACTGATATAATAAACATATAAATTATATACTAAGCTATTATATATCATAAAAATAAATTAACTGATAAAAATTAATATAAATATTCAAAAATATTTTTATTAGCTGCGATGGCGAAGATGCCGAACAAGTACAAGGTGTAGCTATGCCCCATTTGTGTTGCCAGCCTTGCCCTAACTAATATTAATATAAATATTCAAAAATATTTTTATACTAATCAATATTTTTTTTCTAACTTATATGATTTATCATTTTGTACGGGCTATTAAAAGAAAACGCAACCATTGAAAGAGAGATTTGCACCATCCATGCAATTTGCTATCTTTTTTCCTCTTTTTCATCTCCTATTAGAAGAGGAAAAGAAAACAGCTATAATGCATGCACTTTAATTATTCTAGACAAACTAATTACGTGTAAATGTGCCATTATCCTCTCTGGTGCCTTTTTATGAAACTTTAGACGTGTCTCCCTGCCATAAACAACTAGCTTTATCTTTATCTTTTATTTTCTATTTTTCTGATCCGTTCCCATTTTCCTTTCCCCACGATCCAGCAGCTTCTATTCCGTTAACTTTCATGATCAAATTGCACTTTTCCATCTCTCTAATATAATAATAGCTGTAAAGTTGTAGATACAATTAGGGGTCCGCTCACAGGCACTCATAGATTATCTTAGTAAATTTGATTTCATTATAATTATTAATTTCATTATCTATTACTTCTGTTAGGGCCTCGTGTTAGCTAGAGGGATTCTTAGCTAGTTTGAAGTCCATTAGATTGTGACTAGAAAAATTAGTTAATAGGTTCAAATATAGTGTTGACTAGATGAGAAGGAAGTTCGAGTATTGTAAAATTAATAGTACATTGTGCACGCAAACTGAGCTATTAAGGAATAGTAGGACGTTCATCGATAGATTTTAAAGTTAATTGCTTCCATTTTTTATTTTTGACGTTCGAACACACTATTGTGTACTCTATTTTACTCTCAATATTCGTTTCAATTGGCACCAGAGCAGTGGTTCTGTTCTAATCACCGGAGAGGTCCAAGATCATTTGGGTCGGGCACCATGAACTACGACGGGTTATCGATTTCGCGCTTTCGTATCTTGATGGATCCAATTATTCATATTGGAAGTCCATAATGACGATCTTTGTACGATCTTTAGAAAGAAGCATCTGGCAATTGTTAAATTGTTGGACCCTATGTAACACCCCGCCTACTATTACTAAAATCAAAATAAATTTTTCGCGATTATTAATTTGAAAACACTGGTTTAATTTTTGAAAACTCTAATTAACTATTTCAAAAAAAAAACATTTATCTTACGGGATGCTACTCACTGCTAACTATATCTCTTTATCTACTTAAACTATTATGCATGCAATCAAGTAAAATTTATTACTATAATGAGTCGCCATGAAGAATACTGGATTTAAACATGCATAGTCTAAAAATCTGAAATTTGAAATATATGTCTGAAATGCGGAAGCAAATACAAGTTCGAAATCACAAACATACATACTTAATCCAAACATGTTCAAATATACTACATAACATGTTTTCTCAAAATATCCTTAAGCTTTGACCACCACCACATATCAGCTTACGCGCCACGTGGGCAGGGGCAGATTTACTCTTAAATTGCTCAGGCTCAATTTTTTCCTGCTAGAGGTATATTATTACAATTTTTAATAGAAATTTTGGGTGAAAAAATGCAAAATTGGAGGCTGTACGACTAGGGAAGAAGATGAACTAGAGGCGTTTTTCTTTATTCTTTTTAATCAGGCTTTAAAACGACGTCATTTTTTGGCTTCCACTTAATTAAAAAATTGGAGGCCAAACGATGCCGTTTATATTAAAAGGTAAAAAAAATGAAATACATGTTTTTTCCCCAATACACACGCACGCAGGTACAGACAAGGCAAAGAAAAAAAAGAATTTCTCAACCCACAAAGTCTTAAGATCCTCAATTTCTTTTAGGAAAAAAAAGTCCATTAATCCCAAAATTTCTCGCCTGAACACAACCCATCTCCCATCTCCATCTAATCATCTATTCATCTTCCATCTTTATACTTCTAATGTAAGTGTTTTATATGTTCAACTATTCATATCATTTAAAAAAAAAAAATTAAATTCAGATTTTTGTTCAATTCTTTGTATTATATTCTGTTTGTTTTCTCTTTTTACGGTAATTTCATCTTGGTCGAGTGGACCTCTCGGTAATTTCTGGTGCGTACTGCGTAGAGCTCGAGTATGGTATACAGTTTATGCAAGAAATTGATTTTTNGCCGGAACCGACACTGAATACACATCTAATGTAATAACATATCATGACATCAGTATATATGCAATTACCTACTACGTTTGGCAACAACGATACGATGATAATCATTATGCTAACGCATCACGAACTAACCATACATTTAATATGATAAACACACCACAACCTAAGCATACATCTGATATGATAAAACATCACATCTTGAGCATACATCTAATATGAATAAACATCAGCAAAGGCATATAAATAACTAAATTGTCCATAATTACTACTCAACTGACTGCCCATAACTGCTGCTTAACTGACTACTGTCTATAACTGATGTTTAACATACTGCCTATAATTGTTCCTCAACTGACTGTCTATAACTGCTGCTTAAGTGACTGTCTATATTTGTTGCTTAACTTACTGTCTACAACTGCTGCTCAACTGTCTGTCTACAACTGCTGCTAAACTGACTGTCTAAACTGTTGCTTAACTTATGTGAAGGACACTTGTCCTTCACGCTTGCGATAACCAACTGTAGGTCATTGCTCCTGCTTAGGCAAAACTAACTCTTATGCACTTAAAGTTGGAGCTTAACTCAGAGTTGTACTAGAGTCCATGATTCTAACTGGAGTTCGAAACACTTGGTTATAATGAAACCTATCTCTAGGTCAATGCCCCTTGGGGAAGAAATATTCTAGAATTACCACTTAACTCAAAGTTGTACTAAGGTTCTTAATTCACTTAACTCAAAGCTTCACTAGAGTTATTATCTCATCTTAACTAGCGTTTGGATCACTCAGCTAGAAAGGACCTACTTGCTAGGTTATTGCCCCTATTCATGCAAACTAAATCTTACATACATACCTCAGCCAGTATAAAGCGATTATAGAAAATGTAGCACCCAGTATGGGTTCCCCATCTGATATGTTGAAATGCAAGCGTTGGAAATAGATGTGCAGCAGATAGAGGCTCGATTCTCCTCAAACTACAAAATATTTGAGCAAAATATATTCTAAGTACTTAGCTCAAATTGAAAAACTCGAATCTTAATCTCCGATCTTTCTAGGTTCGCTTGTTGGTTTTTAAATCATTAATAACTCTTTAGAACAATTTACGAGCTAATTTGAAAACTTATTGTCTAGAGGCTTTTTAGAGTTCTCTGAAATATTTATAAGTCTGAAGCTAATATCTAACTTGATCTGAACTGACTTGATTCGGGAAAATACTTAAATCTTAATTCACGCTCAAACTGATATTTCGTACTGGAAATTCTCGAACTGTCCAGACTGCCCGGATTGATTCAGTTGAACCGGAAACTTCTCGAACTGTCCAGACTGCCTGGACTGGTTCAGCTGGACTGGACGGCAGCTCACTCAGAACCGACGGGTCGCTCGTTGGCTAGGTGCACCTCGGCTGAACCGTGGTCTGAGTTCGGCGTAGCAACTAATGGAAACGCACAAACACAGCTGACGCGGCTTTGCCAATGCATGAGTTTTAAACGGTGTCATGGCCACTGGCGCAGGGGCGTGCTTGGACCACGGCTAACGGAAACGGCATTTTGACGGGTAGATTGGAACGGACGCACGGGCATTGGGCAGATCGCAGGGGCGCGGTGTTCGCCTATATTTTTAAAGCTCGACCGCAAGTGTACAGCTTCGCTCGTAGTATGTGGCAAGCAAGGTCGTATCCCAAGAGACCAAATAATTATTATACCAATTACTAGATTATGATAGTGTCGATTTTATTTAGACGACCGAATATGAGATGGATTAACTAAACTAAGAAAATATAATCAAGTGAATAAGGCAAAAATAAAGAATTAGCTAGAAAAACACGTAGGAAGATGTATGATAACGATAGATTCTAAGACTTTGGTTTCAATTAACAGTTGGGTTCCTTCAAAAGTATCACAACCAATGTTTTCTTTATCTACCCTATAAGACGATCACAAATTTAGCTTATTGTCCCTCTCGAGATCAATAAAACCGTAGATTAAATCACATATATTAGCGTCTCCACTCAACACATGCAATTCAACTCCAAATAGATTAAAAGATCTAATATCCTCAAAACAACATACTAATCTCTCGATTCAAGCAAGTAAATTGTGTTAAATATCAAAGACCTAACATTGAACTCATCTCTCGAATTATGAACAATATTGTCAAACATGTAAAAACATTGATCAAGTGCTAAACATGAAACAAGAACAAAATATTTGAATAGGGTTCAAAAGAAAACAATCAATTATAATAAATCATCCAAAATCCCAACATATTAATCTACTACCAAGTCTTAGAATCAAATAATCTAGCTACTCATGTTCGAATTCAAATACATAGACATATTAGAAATCAACATGATCAATAAAAGTTCAAAAGAAAGAAGAAAGGAAAAACTAGGAATGTCGTCGATCTTTCAATCTTCTCGATCCCTTCGTAGTTGATCTCCCTTTGCCTTCCAATTGCTCCTCTTGTGTGTTTTCAAGCCTCTCTAACGTGTATCCTCTTTTTGGCCTCTCAAACTAGGTTAAATATGCTTCCTTTTGTGTCCAAAAACCTTCTCCTCATCAAAATAGGCAAATATTAAAAAACTGTTTCCGCACGCGACACGGCCACACGGCCCGTGTCACAGGCCGTGTCGCAGGTCGTGTCACATTCACTGCCTCGGAATGCCTCTATTAGCGTGACACGACCTCTGACACGGGCATGGTGCCCGTGTCACCGTCCGTGTCACATCCCAGCACACTCGTTTTTGTCCGTTTCACTCGTTTCTTCCATTTTTCTCATCCGTGCATCAATCCATCATCATCTCGGGAGTTTTAGGTACTCACCATGCGCCTCCAATAGCCACAAGCTCTACAAATATGTGAAAATATCTACAAAACAAGCACGTGTAATACCTTTCTAACAAATAGAGAATTAAAGCACAAATATGCGATTTATACACCAATAACGCAATGACTAAGCTCTAGATACTCAATAAATATGGTGTAAAATCACACATGAACAAACCCCCAAACTTAAACCATTGATAGTCCCGATCAATGCATCAAACTCCTACCAACACATAAGGAAAAACAATCACACTCTCAAAGTCAATCATACACATTCTCAATATGCATCGGGCAAATAATATAACTAAGTTCTGGAATTTTTAAACTTAAAGAATGCTTCATCAAAATCATGGTCAATACCTTCAATCCACAAACCTCACCTGATAAGTGTATACTCTCACTCTCAAAAGTGTATAGGGAAATAATCGCTCAAATCAATTCAATGTTGAAGAATTACCATAAGCTTGCAAATCGTCTATTATCTCCACCACTCAATGTGCATGCAAATCATGAATCAAAAAGGACTTTCATCGGTTGTAATATAGGCTCTTTGGTTAGGGTAGGAAAAATATGGATAAAGTGACGAAAACTTGAGCATCTAGAACTACAAAACATGAACTACACCAATTCATCACCTATCATTCATGATCAAGCTCAACAAAATCATTCCATAACCCATTTTCGATCAATACTCGTAAGCCATAAAAGAAAATTCAACACTCAAACCCAACCGTCCTTTATTCAAGTCAATAATAAAATAGAAACAACTATACAAACATTCCTCTTCTTTTTTTTCTTCTTTTTTTCCTTTTTTTTCTTTTCTTTTTTCTTTTTTTTTTTCTTTTTTTATAATAGGATATATCAACACCATTCAACTTCCACCATCAAATTATACCCACATTCACGTCTTCCCTTTATCCAAACCACAACAATAACCCATCCTCGTCACATAATATAGTCCTAAATGCTCAAGTAAGGACAAGGAAAAATATAGATATAGCTCAATACGTGGCATCCAAATAAAATAGGCAAAGGTTCAAAAGGGTTAACTAGTGACTCAAAATATCATTTGGTAAGCTAAACGGTTCAAAAGGCTCCACAAAAAAAAAATATGCCTTAAATCATTTTCACATATAGCACACACCATGTGGTCTCGATAAAGATACCAATGCAAGTTCTAGAATTCAAATAACAATGAATGATACACTCATAAAAAAAAAATAAGGCTCAAAAGCTCACAAAGGATCATATATTCATGAATTAAAAGCATCAACCAATCATTCAAATTCACGATTCCGTCAATTCTCAAATTCCATCACTTAGCACATTATGCCCGAATTATATATCAAATATGCACAAGAAACTCATCAAGTTAGATCAAAGTCAACCAACTACAACTACTAAAATCCTAAGAAAGCAATAAACGTGCTAAAACAATAAACCTAACATGCAACTACATGATATGCAAAGGTGATGTGTTTCTTGAATCCTCTAAAATAACTCCCCCAAACTTGAATGAAATTCTATGAAACACAATGAGAGAAATAGAAATTCACTGCTAAGGATCAAGAAACACTCACAAAACCGCACTGAGGTGGTGGGCCAAAATGGCCCTCATCCATGTGCCATTGGTGCATTTGACGAATCATCGCCATCATCTCACTTTGGTCCGCTCTCATCCCCATCATCTCATTCTCTATGTTCGTCATCCTCGCTCCTAAGCTCAAAGGAGGAGGAAAAGCAAGCCTCTCGACTCCTTGAGTAGAGCTCTCCGGGATATCCATGTGATCATCCTCTTCATGGTCATAGGCTTCTTCCTCCTCAACACTCGGGTGCTCCTCAACTCTTTGCCGAACATTCCTTTGCGAGCCACCGACCGCCCGTCCAAATTCCGCTTGCACCTCATTGATGGTGGCGGAATGCGTCTCGCTCACCATCTTAATATTTGTCACGTCGTTGACACTCTCGATTGTGGTCAAATGGGTGTTCGGTAATGGAAAGTGGTCATGAGCCCGTTGCAACAATAAATATCGGTCGGCTTCTTGGCGTACAAAATTCATTGTCTTGAGAGCCGCCATGTTAATGGAAGGGGTCGCACCAATGGGAGTCATCGTGCTCAAGTCAATCCCACAATAAGTAGCAATGGGTGTGATCATGCCACCCACACAAATTTGGCCCGACTCCGAAATAGCCGCCTCCCATAAATGAGTCGCCACCCATTTCCCGGTAAGCCCGGGCCTGCTCTTTAGCATGCACCATAGAGCCGTGAGCTCACGAAGAGAGCATCCGCCCATCTCTCCTCGTGCAAAGATCGTGCTCGCAACGGCCTTTTGTAAATACCGCAACACGGGATTGCGGATTGAGGTTGCCTTCGCGGACTTCGGAATGAACCGCGGAGCGGGATTAGAAGGTGTCCCAGCAATCAAATTCCAAGTGTCATGTGCATTAAAGGACGAGGGAATAATCGGGTCTTCCGAGCCTCGGTAAACCTCCTTCTCCAAGGTTTCTACGTCGAGCGTGTAGTCTCGATTGTTAAGTCGAAACTTCAATATCCGCACCATGTGGTCATACTCCGACTTCTCAACCTCCAAAGTACTAAAAAACTCCATAGTAATGCCGGCGTAGGTTGGCCATTTTTGCGTCATTAAGTACTCCCACCCGGCTCGTCGTATAAGCCTCCACACATCATCTTGTAGGCCAAGAGCTACAAGAGCCTCGTCATCCACATACCGGGTTGCTACCATACGCAAGTTCGATAATGTTTTCCACATTTTCTTTTCCTCGACCGTTTTCAATCGAACGTTAAAACTTCCCGGTTGAATTGCCGCATCCAGTATAACATTAGCATCCGATCCCCTTCCTCGGCCTCTACTTCCCGAACCTCTTCCACGATTCATCTTAACCTGAGACAAATAGACAACTAACCCACATTAACAATAAGATATACCATTCCAATATAACTATCACCTTAAACCCATAAAACCTATGAAAAAGTACTCCATTGCCACAAAGTTCTTACAATTATCCTCCAAACAAGTCAATCAACCATCAAAGTAACATATCAAAGCACTAAGTGTATAAAGCAACTACAATTCAAGCACAAATCCATCAAGAAACCGAAATTCATAAGTGCCTATCACGTGTTTGATAATTCGCTCAAACCAACTAGGTCAAATAATCTCAACAAAACTAACACACAAGAACACCATATCATCAAGCAACACAATAACTCTACATCAAGTAATAATTACGACAAACACATACCAAAATTATGGAGAGAATGTACAATCCCGAACTCAATTCCCAAGAGATTTCAAAGCTTAGCTAAAGTCCCAAAAAGAGAGAAAGAATTGTAGAATTATGGACTAGTGATATTAAGGGAAAGATTATGATGTAAATTTGATGTAAAGAGGTGGTAAATTGTAGATATATGCAAAGAGGATTGTGAGCTAGGGTTGGAGAAGAGAAAAGGGCCGAAAGTTTAAGAAGAAAAATGAGGGGAAAGTGTATTTTAAAAGATGCTGCTGTCGCGACACGGGCCGTGACACGGTCACCTTGCCCGTGTCGCCGTCCGTGTCACGACCCCTGGAACCAGTTACCTTGACACGGGTCATGACACGGTCACTTTGCCCGTGTCGATGCCCGTGTCACACCCTTGGGCTGCTGCTGCTATTGCTATTGCGACACGGTCGATGACACGGTCATCCTGCCCGTGTCGTCTCCCGTGTCGCACATCTGGGANTAAAAGAAAACTACTCTAAAACAAAATAAAATAAAATAAAATAATAAAAAAAAAACGGTAAAACCGTTGGGTTGCCTCCCAACTAGCGCTAAGTTTAACGTCTTCAGCCAGACGCCTGTCAAATCGATCACGGCTCCTTCAAAGTCACGTAGGACAACTTCTCATTTTGATGTGGATGAAAATAGTGCTTGATTCGTTGTCCGTTGACTACAAAGGTCTCTCCATCTCGTGCAACCAATTCAACTGCTCCCGGCGGCAACACCTTCTTAATCACGAAAGGCCCCGACCATCTCGACTTCAATTTCCCAGGGAACAAGTTCAATCGTGAGTTAAATAGAAGAACTTGTTGTCCCGGAACAAATTCCCTCTTGTGAATCATCCGGTCATGCCACCTCTTCGTTCGCTCCTTATAAATTCTCGAATTCTCATAACAATCATCTCGCTATTCCTCCAACTCATTAAGCTTAAGAAGTCTTTTCTTTCCCGCTTCATGAAAATCAAAATTGATCTTCTTCACAGCCCATAATGCTCGATGCTCTAACTCAACCGGAAGATGACACGACTTACCGAAAACAAGCATGTATGGTGACGATCCCAATGGAGTCTTATAGGCCGTAAGATAGGCCCAAAGTGCATCATCTAGCTTCAACGACCAATCCTTCCGATTTGTGCTAACCGTCTTCTCCAATATGTGCTTGATTTCTCGGTTCGCCACCTCCGCTTGTCCGTTTGCTTGCGGGTGATACTCTAAGGCAACTTTATGCTTGACACCATACTTCGAAAGAAGTCTCTCCATCAACTTATTCACAAAGTGAGACCCCCCATCGCTAATTAAAGCTCTAGGGGTTCCAAACCGAGTAAAAATATTCTTCTTGAGAAACTGAAGAACAACAGCGGCATCATTGGTGTGTGACGGAATTGCCTCCACCCATCGCGAGACATACTCAACGGCAAGTAGAATATACCGGTGTCCACACGAGGAGGGAAAAGGACCCATGAAGTCAATCCCCCAAACATCGAACAACTCAACCTCCATCACATTCGTCATAGGCATCTCATGCCGCCTCGAAATATTGCCCATCCGTTGGCATCGATCACATTGGGTCACAAAAATAAAGCACTCTTTATACAAGGTGGGCCAATAAAAACCACTTTGCAATACCTTAGCGGCGGTACGAGCGGACCCAAAATGGCCACCTGTCGGTGAAGAATGACACTGTTGAAGAATTCCATCCCACTCTTCTTGTGGAACACACCGTCGAATGATCATATCAGCACACCTCTTGAAGAGAAGAGGCTCATCCCACATATAGAACTTCACATCATGGAGGAATTTCTTCTTCTGATAAAACGATAAGTCCGGAGGTAAGACCCCGACCACCAAATAGTTGACAATGTCGGCGTACCACGGAAATTTAGCCTCAGTCATTAGGAGCTACTCGTCTGGGAACTCTTCTTTGATATCTCTCGAAGTGTCCTCCTCTTGCCGTTTATACTCAAGTCTCGACAAGTGGTCTGCTACCACATTCTCGCATCCTCGACGATCTCGAATCTCAATGTCAAATTCTTGCAATAAAAGAATCCACCGAATCAAGCGTGGCTTGGAATCCTTCTTGCCAAAAAGATACTTGATTGCCGTATGGTCTGTATGCACGATCGTCTTGGTCCCAATCAAATAGGCCCGGAATTTGTCAAATGCGTAGACAATGGCTAACATCTCTTTCTCTGTGGTAGTGTAATTTTGTTGGGCGCCATCAAGAGTCTTGCTCGCATAGTAAATGGCTCTGAAAAGTTTATCACGTCTTTGGCCCAACACTGCTCCAACAGCAAAATCACTCGCATCACACATGATCTCAAACGGTTGAGACCAATCTGGGACAACCAAAATAGGAGAGCTCACCAATGCCTTCTTTAGAGTCTCGAATGCCTGCAAACAATCAGCGGAAAAATTGAAAGCAATATCTTTTTCTAATAATTGGCTCAAAGGCTTCGAAATTTTAGAAAAATCACGAATAAACCGTCTATAGAAGCCGACATGCCCAAGAAAGCTCCGAATAGCCTTTTCATTCCAGGGAGGTGGAAGCTTCTCAATAGCTGAAATCTTCGCCCGATCTACCTCCAATCCTACAGATGAAACTTTGTGGCCCAAAGCAATACCATCTCGTACCATAAAATGGCACTTCTCCCAGTTAAGGACTAAGTTAGTCTCTTCACATCTCTGCAGAACTAGAGTAAGATTATGCAAACAAGAATCAAACGAGTCACCAAACACAGAAAAATCATCCATAAACACTTCCATAATATTCTCAATAAGACCATGAAAAATTGTCATCATGCACCGTTGGAAAGTAGCAGGAGCATTACACAAACCAAATGGCATTCTACGAAATGCAAAAGTACCATAAGGACATGTGAAGGTGGTTTTCTCTAGGTCTTCCGGGGGGATCATAATTTGATTGTACCCCGAATAACCATCGAGAAAGCAATAATAGTCCATTCCTGCTAAACGATCCAACATTTGATCAATAAAGGGGAGGGGAAAATGATCTTTACAAGTTGCGGCATTTAATTTCCTATAGTCTATACAAATTCGCCAACCCGTTACTATCCTAGTTGCAATTAGTTCCTCTTTCTCATCTTTCACTACTGTCATTCCTCCCTTTTTCGGTACCACTTGCACCGGGCTCACCCACTCACTATCAGAAATCGCAAATATAACCCCGACATCTAACCATTTAAGTACTTCTTTCCTAACAACTTCTTGCATAACAGGGTTCAAGCGTCGTTGGTTCTGCACAGATGGTCTATAGTCTTCCTCTAATCTTATTTTATGCATGCAAAGCGATGGACTAATACCTTTAAGATCAGACATAGACCAACCTATAGTCGACTTATACGTGCGTAACACCCTCAACAGTTTATCTAATTGCTCAGAAGTTAGAGAAGACGATACAATTACCGGATATGTGCAATTATCACCCAAATATGCATATGTCAGATGATCAGGCAATGGTTTGAGGTCCATAATCGGTGCGTCGGGCTTTGAAGAACTTGATTCGGGTGAATTAGAGGTCGACTTCTTATCTGACACGACCTCTGACACGGTCAGGGCTTGAAGATCCGGGTCGTGTCGCCGTCCGTGTCGCAAAACCTGTGCTTGACAATCTGACACGGGCACGTGACACGGCCCGTGTCGCCGTCCGTGTCGCATCTGAAAATTCTGAGTTTCTTCCAGTTTCTTGAGACGGTCAT